AAATTTACATGGACTAATTTATTTCCATTAACTAGTTTTCAATGACTCCTAAAGAATAAATCCTGTTTTTAAATTTTCTGGCAAAAAATCATCAAATATCTAATAATAAAAATAATTATTATTCCGTTTGTCTAACTAATGGTTTTAATCACCATGTTGCAACTATTTATTATAAGTTATATATCACATATAACATAGCAATATTCTACTAATAATAAAAACAAAAAGAAGAAAACTAATATATCTGGATGAAAAATCGAGTAACAATCATAAAATAAACAATAATTGCATTGATTTAACAATAATGCCTTTTCATCAAATTTTACATAATTCCTCAATCTCAGAAATCTTTTTAAGTTGCTTTGTCTTGAGATTTTCGTCTAAGACATTCTCAGCTGTAGCCTTTAATTTATCGAAGGCACATCGTAAACTTCCATCAAAGTTAAATTTACTAATAAGTTTTAATGATTCGATATCATGTTGAATGCTGTTATAGCACATTTCAACTCCCTTTACTAAAATTTCGAGAACTGAACATCTTATTTTTTCCTCCGCCTTTAAATTAATTGAGTTACTAAACTCTCTATCATATTTGATTTTCAATTCATTAATCACTTCTTTGAATGTTTCACGGCGTCTAACGATTTTGTACTTTTGTAGGTCATGGCTATTGAATTAAATATGTCGTCAAATATTTAAAAATTGATATATGAATTAGATCTCTTGCAATATAGATAACACCATTAATAGCAATTAATTTAGAATAAATATTACTCATATTGCAAAAGATACTATGAATTACTTTGGATCTTAATATTTTAACTTACTCTGACCATCCGCATCCACATTCTCTGCATGTTCCACTGAAAAAGTTGATACGATTACACGTGCGAACAAACCAATTTGGACTATTTTCATGGCAAATTGATTCAAGGTGATTTATACAAATAAGATTTTTATGAGGAGTTTGAATGTACTCAAGATACTCAAAAACTTTCTCTTGCGTATAGTTTTTGCTACTTTCCAAGATATTTTCATGTTTTTCACATTCGCATCTGGTCTTTAAAAGTTGAATAATTGCATCATTAATTTTGCTGATTTCTCCAATAGCTTTTCGAATTTGTGCAGTTAAGTCTTTTTGAAATTCTGCAATTTTTTGAAAGTCTTCGGTAGACTTAAATTCACTCTTCTCAATAGCAGTCAAAAAATTAACAATCGTTTTTTGTGACACATCCCAACTTTGTTCAACTTCAAGTTTTGATTGAGAATCAGATCGCCACTCATTAGGGTTGCACGAAAATGTTAGATTATCCATGTAAAATATTTCCTATTTGTAAAGATTAGTTTTGTTAACAATAGTCAAATAAAATAAAATTACCATATTGAATCCGAAAGAAATTCAAATAACCTTTGGTGTTGCTACTTCCTTTTCAAAAAAATCTATTTGGAAGATTGCTCCAAGTTTTTTAGTTTGAGTAACTATTAAAAAAAGATTATTTTCCAAGAGAGATTTTGGCAAATAATTGTTGAAACCATTTATCGTATTTTTTATTACTTCTGAACATCGAGTTTGTTTTCCATTGACGACAAATACAATGGCGTGTAAATATTTTTCGTTGACAGCCTTTTCAACTATAAATTCCAAGTTTCTTTGATCTTGATTATTTGTGTCCCCGAGACCTGGGGAATCAATAAATCTATATGTGCATTCAGGACGTGTTGGATGTTCAAAATCATACGAAAAGCATTCAGATGTCTGACTGCTCGTTTGATCGTTCACATTAAATTCGGAGGATGGATGTTCGAGGTCTTTAGACAACAAATAAATTAAATGTATCTTTTAGTATATTGTATATTATATAAATAAAAGGAAAAAATTATCACCTTCTTCAGTAACTTTGAAGTATTTCGATTTGATGGCAGTTTTAATGTTATCAGGGCTACCGTTACGAAAATAATTAGTCAATACGTTAATTAGGGTGGACTTTCCTACTCCTGTCTCGCCGACAAGAAGAACTTTGAAAAAAGGTATCATTTTCATTATCTTTTTAAAAACAATAAATTTTGACAATTCTAGTTAGAATATTCATTTTATATTACTTAATTTCACGGGAAATAATGAATGTATCAGTAAATCTATCACACTTGTCATACTACTCTTGACAAAATGACGAATTAGATTTGAGTTTAAAATAATCAGCCCACTATACTACAATATTACTATACACGTATATAGCTGGTAATATATGAGTGTCGCAAGTGATAACCAGTAAGTCTAAATATAAAATAATATTTTTTATTGTAATGGTAATCTATAGACTTACTTTGTGGTTAAGGATGTAAAATTATTGCATTTTACGTAATTTTATGTAATTTTGTGATAAATTTTGTAAATTAATTTTTTAATTTTGAATACATGAAATTTCGTTTCTGACATCAAATTTTCGGCGATTTAGGAATTATAGTTCACATTACAGCTGTTTTCATTATTCCTGGGACACCTATAAAAAAATTAACCGAAAAATTTTTCGGCCGGTAATTTTTTCG